AAAAAAAATAAAAAAAAATATATATATATATATATATATATATATATATATTACGTGAAAAAAATCATAATTAATTTTTATTCTAGTTAATGTGAGGTTTATAACAATTTGAGTGAATTCACCCAGAAAAAAATAGTTGGAATTATGTGAGAGGTGGAAATATACGGTATCTATAGATGTGTAGGTAGAACTCAACTGCGGTGGACACTTCCCAATCTATTTATTGCAATTGCCTTTGTTCGTATCCAATATATCGTGGTGGATCGTGGATATAGCTATGTCACGGTATAAAGGGAATAGGGACTAGGTAGAAGAATTATTGGTGTAAAATATCTATTATCTTTATCAAAAAGTTTAACTTATAACATTTACTAAAGTCTCCAATTCTTATCACATTTTAAATTTATTTGAATTAACCACACGTTGGTATTAATTATAATTACAAAGTAACAAGAATTGTGAAGTATGGTATAAGGTAAGAAATATTTTCATAATCCGACAATTCAGTGAGAATATTAGTTACTATTTTTGTTTCAAAACATGATTTGTTAAAAGAAAAAAAAAGTCTAAACAAACAATATAATTATTTTTTTAGCTTTTTAATACAATATAATTATTTTTCTTTATTTATATCCCTAATAGATATTGTTATATTGCATGTTTCCATTAAAAAGTGTTTTTTTTTTTGAAAATGAATTATTGGAATAAGAAAAATGATTTTATCTAAATTATAAAAGAAAATAATAATAATAATAATAATAATAATAATAATAATAATAAAAAAAAAGTTAATTTCGTAAGATTATAATGCTATTTTTAATAATATTTTTTGATATGTGTAAGACGACATTTATTATAGATAGAAAAAAGTACTAAATTTGACCCATTTGCAATTTTGTGAATGATAAATTTTCAAGGAAACTAAAACTTGGTATGTCATTGTTGTTGAGCCCATCAGTACTAGGATGTCCTAACACTAACAAAATAGACAGTTAATGTTAATAACTCTCGTGACAATTATCTTGTAGGAAATTGATTTTATTTATGAAGTTCTTAACTCTTTGCTTGTTAACTCTGTGACAACTATCTTGTAACAAGATAGACATTTCACTAGCACCTAGATGATTTATTCTAGCTTCATTGATTTGAATTTTAACTCTTTGCTCGTAATTGCTGTCAAAAAAAAAAATTTGCTTGTTATTCATCTTCTTCCTCCTTGATTTTATTTTTGTTATTCTAAAACTTTGAAATGCAAGAGGCCGGTTTTAATGAAGTTAAAACTGAAAATAAGGTAAAAAGGTGCTTTCAGAATTATAGGCCTGTTGAGTCCTTGTTGGAAGAAATTTTGCCTGTACAAAATAAATAAGCTATTATCTATCTATGTAGTTTGTTTGTTTTTCTTTTTGTTATGTCTATTTTTATATTGCATGCCTTATCTTATTTTGATAAATATTTGTTCTTTTTATATCAAAACCTGAATAGAATGTATGATTCTCATCAAGTCAGCAAAATCCACGTCTAATTCTCACATTTATACAAATGATATTATAAATATCTTCACATTTTCACGTTTCTTGATTCCAAAGCTGAACCAAACATACATGGAACTTAAGAAATTCTGGAATGAATAAAAATTGTTTAGGTAGAAATAACATTTAAACTTAAAAGTCATTGATTTCATGGAGATGAAAATGAAGCTACAGATTCTGCTCTAAGCTCATTAAAATTTGCCTTCACATTTACAATTTCCTCATTGAATCTTTATTAACAATAAATTTAACCGTTAAAAAAACATATCGATTCATATGTATTCCAAGAAAAACAAACTGAAGGCAAACAAAGAAATTGAATTTGGTTACGTATAAGTAAAGTGAGGCAGTTGTAATCCTTAAAAATTCTCAATGGTCCAAATTCTTTTACATTGCTGATTAATAAGTTATAGATCAGGGTCTTTATCATGAGCAGGAAAGAATTGCATCAACAAATCCTTGGCAACCTGAATCAAAGCCTTCAAATCATTGTTACCCAATTCAAGACAATCCCTTATTAATCCACCTTCCACCACCTCTTTCTGAAACGTTTCCCCTATTTCCCTCATCACTCCCTGTAATTCCATATGCTCAAATTCATCACTAACTCAGTAACCACACACAACAGGGTACATCACATTATACAACAAGGTTGGTCATAAACTTGAACAAAATAAATAGCAAAATAATTTCAAAAGTTAAACAATTCACTTGCTTACAAAGTTACTTAATTGTTTCTGTTTTAAGTTTCAGTTCCTGTACAAGAAAAGTGTAAATTTGCACTGCAACAGTTTATCACTGTCTAAAAGTTTTTTGTAGTATTTGGGTACCTTTGAAAAACTTTGACAAAACGTACATGAGAAATTGAACTTACCGTATTCCAGATACTAACTAAAACTAAAAATTGTGTTTGTTTTAAAATATCACAAATTACTCTATCAAAAAAAAAAAGTGAACTTGAGATATCACATTTCTACATTTGGTACAAATTTTAAGAAAATATATTACTAAGATAAAAGGTGAATATCTTAAATTTACATTAAAATAGAAGTTATTTGATATAACAACTGTCTACCTCCACTTTATTCTTTTATTTTTAATTAAATAAATTATAGTTTTTTTTCTGAAATCATTAATATCAACCAAACATATTTACAAAATTAACTTCCCTAAAGATATAAATTATGAAAATATATTTTCAAGAAATATGATATTATTTATAGCCGAACAAACCCAACTTAGTATGCAAGTGAATGCAAGGGAAAAAAAAAAGTATGCAAGTGAATGCAAGGGAAGAAAAAAGTATGCAAGTGGATAATTTAGGTTAACTTATATATTTTTTTTATAAAAATTTATTTTAATTTTTTATTTAAAAATATTATTTTGATCTTTTATTTTCTAAATTTAAATTTCATTAATCCTTTTAAAATAGTCATTATTTGTAATTTTGAAAGATCATTTTAAATCTTTTATTTCATTAGGATTACAAAATTATGAAATTCAATTAATGTTTAGATTTAAAAGAGTAATAAATACAGTGAAAATCATGTAAAAAATATATCTCACAAGTAATTAAAAAATAATATAAAATAATATAAAATAACATTTTTAGAATTATTTCTGTTAATTTATATATAATTTTTATCATGTTTATAATATTTTTTATTTAAACTTCAATTTCATTTAATACTTTTTATATAAGCAAATTTTGTTAGACAAATACTAAGTTTTGAATCCATTAAAAAAAATTCAAAATCTTGACTCAAAATTTAAAATAATCATTGACCAAGTAAATATAAATTTTTTAAAAAAAAAGACTAAAATAAATATTTTAAAAGATACATGAATAAACTAAATTAAAGATAAAAAAACTAAAAAGTATAATTTAACTAAAATATATTATGATTTAAAATAATAGACAAAGACAGAAATAAATGAAACGCGCGTTTCACATACCGATTGGCGTAACGCTTTGAGGAGCTTGGCGGAGAGCGACTTAGAGACGGTGAGGACACTTTGGTAATTTCGCGAAACCCAAGCGGACCTTTGCGCGACCGATTCCAAGCGAGTCAACTCAGTCAAAACCCTAAGCAACTCGTTGACGTCGGAAACGACGCCGTATAGATCCGTGAAGGACAAGTCCGTCCAGGACCAGGTCCAGAGGAGCTTCAAGAAGCCGAAGACGGTTCCCTGATGGAGCTTGTCCGCAATGGCCCGGGCTCGGTCGGCGCCGGCGACGTCGCCGCGTGCGGCGCGGTGGTTGGCGACGGAGATGAGGAGGTTGTGGGAGATGGAGAAGAGGTTTCGGTAACGGAAGTAAGAGGAGAAAGAGAGGGATTGGGAGGGAGATGGTGCTGCTGTGAGGAGAACAAAGAAGAAGAACAAGACGGTGATTGAGTTTGATCGAAAGGTTACCATTTTCGGATTTCAAACTTCAAAATCGATGGAACTGTAATGAAGCATTCAAAAAACAAAAAAAAAATCAGATTTGGGCGGTGGACATTTCTTCGGAAATGCTCTGCTTAGTCCATTCGGCTCACTATTTTTCCATCCCTTTTTAGAAAAAAAAAAAAATAATAATAATCCTTAAATTGTGCTAACTAATTATGAATTTTTTATTTTATTATTAATTTTGAGATACCCATAAAATTGGTTTTAAAAATAAAAATGTTCCGGATAAGGGAGTGTCTAGGGTTCTTCTCCTAGGTCAAGTCTCTCAAACCAGAACATTCAAGAGTAAGAGATCCACCATTAGATTTAGGGTTCAAGATTTTATAACTCTTTGTGGGCCCCGTAATCCTGATAGTTTCGTGATTCTTAGCCGTTTTTTATGTTCCAAATATTTGATTATCATTAATGGGATTTTATTCTTGATATGGTGCGTACTAAGTTAAAGTTCTTGTCTCTAAGTCCCCAGTAAAAAGAAACTGAGATGGTACCTATGGATGGTAACACCTGCTCGTCTGGGTCGAGGTATTCCATCTCGGTATTTCATCTCAGCCAAATGTCTATCGGTAAGTCATATTGATATAAGTCTGGGACAGTACACTTGTCTTCTAGCCCTGAGCCTATTATAAGCTCAGGGCTTGAGTAATCACAATAGCGACCTGATACCTCTTGTCAAAGTGGTGAAAAAGTACATCGTGTCGTCCCTAAAGATGTATTGACATTTTGCCGACACATATTATGGATCTAGGTTATCCTTCTAGTGAAACTATCTCGAAAATAGTCCAAGATGATACAAAAAGTAATTATCAATTTTGTAGAATTTTTTTAAAAACATTTAATTCATTCTTAATTCTTAATTTTTTTGTTTATATTGATTATATAATTTTAGCCAATTAATTTTTTAAAAAATAGATAATTTTAATTCAAATGTTAAATATGTATACATTAACTATTGAAATTTAAAAAAAATTGTGATGACGACAGTGATAGAAGGAACACAACATCCGATGATAAGAGATATATGAGGACTGAGAGGATATTAAGAAGAGAAAAATAAAGAAGCTCTAAATCAAATGGTGGCAAATTAAATTGAAGAAAGTTCTAAAGATGCAGGCCCAAAATATGAAGAGGAGTACAAAATAATTTGTTGCAATTAATATTGAAGTGTGCATAACTCAAGTGACATTACTATAGCATAATAGAATGTACTGTCTTATTGATTTATTTGCAAAGTCGTCAAGAGGGTTAGTCACAAATTAAGAGGGTCGGCTGCTTATGCAAGCAGTTATACTAATTTGGAGAGAGAGAAATTTGAGCCTCAGCATGTCTTTTTCTGCTTTTTTAAAGAAAAAATTGGAGATAAAGTAATTTTGTTTTTCAACCATCCAACAGTATTAAGGATGGCAATGGGCGCCATGAGGCGAGTAATAGTAAACTTGTCCCGTCTCACCAGATGAAAATTGGTTCCATACCTATTTTATATTCGTGCGGGTATTCATTAATTTCTTAAATAGTTACGGATATTCATGAATATTTAAATATTTTAATAAATTAAAAAAATTATATTATAAATAATTTTAAGTTTATATTTAATGTCATTAAAATATTAAAAAATAAAAATTCATTGTTAATTTTGAACTTGTATTTAACGTTAATTTTATTGAAATAATAATAAAAATGCAAGATAATTAATAACTCAATATACATTAATCTCACAAGTAAGTTAAAGTCTCATCACAAAGCTACAATAATTCAATCTCATAATTTCAAATAAAAGTAAATAACTTACAATACATGAATTTTATTGGTTCAATCAAAGCTAGAAAATCAATCAAATTACATCCAACATAATTCTATAATATGCTTAACACATGTTGGTAACTTCATCAACATCACTTTTGTAAGAAAATAAGATGAGAGAGTATAGTTTTAGGATTATGTGGTACAACAATAATTAGGATATTTAAAAAATATTATTAAACGGGTACCCGCGGGTATGAATATTATCATACCCACCCCGCCCCGTTTATAAACGGGTAAAAAATTATCCGTCCCCATTATCTGCGGGTACCCAGTTAACCTATCCATTTATTATTCGTAACGGGTTTTACCCGCAAATACCCGCAGGTACAGGTATTTTTGCCATCCCTAAACAGTATGTTAAGTATACTCTTACATTGTTATTTGCCGTGAGATGGAAGAGATGAGACTGTGATTTAAGTGGATTTAAAGATAAATGAGAGTATTAAAAAAAATCATTAACATGAGGTGATTTGCATAAAAAAATAATAAAAAGATAAAAAAAAATGTAATTTAATCATCACTTATTCTCAATTTGGCCATGCAAAAAATACTTACGATTTTTGATTATGTATATATATAGTCGAATATATAATTAATTTATATTATTTTTACTTATTTATTTTTAACTAAATAAATAATTAATAATAATAAATAAATAAATAAATAAAAATTAAATAATTTATTTATATATAATATTAGGGATGGCAATGGGCCCCATAGGGGCGGGTAATAGTAAACTCACCCCGCCCCGCTAGATGAAAATTGACCCCGTACCCACTCCATATCTATCCGGATATCCATTAAGCGGGTATCCATGAATTTCTTGTATACCCACGGATATTCGTGGATATCCATGAATATTTATAAATTTTGTAAGAAATTAAAAAAATTATATTATAAATAATTTTAAATTTATATTTAATATCATTGAAATATTAAAAAATAAAAAATAAATGTTAATTTTAAACTTGTATTTAATGTTAATTTTGTTGAAATAATAATAAAAATGCAAGATAATCAATAATTTAAAATACATCAATCTCACAAGTAAGTTAAAGTCTCATCACAAAGTTACAATAATTCAATCTTATAATTTCAAACGAAAGTAAACAACTTAAAATGCATCAAAATTTATTGGTTCAATCAAAGCTAGAAAATTAATCAAATTACATCCAACATAATTTTATAACATGCTTAATATATATTGGTAACTTCATCAACCTCACTTTTATAAGAAAATAAGAAGATAGTGTAATTTTATTGTTATGTGGTACAAGGATAATTAGGATATTTATGAAATATTATTAAACGGGTACCCGCGGGTATGGATATCATCATACCCACCCTGCCTCATTTATAAACGGGTAAAAAATTATCCGTCTCCATTATATGTGGGTACCCAATTAGTCTATCCATTTATTATCCGTAGTGAATTTTACCCGCAGGTGCGGGTAATTTTGCCATTCCTATATAACATACTATTTTAAAATACTATTTTTTATTTTTCACTCTTTCATTTTTTTCTTTTATTTATTTTCTATTAAATTAATTCTTAATTATTCTTTATCATTCTTTTTTCTCTCCCAAACAAAAAATTAAGATATTGAACAATGTTTAAACTTTCCCCCCTCAAGTATTTTAAAATAGACTTACATTAAAAAACTTTGGAGAAATTTTTTATCCCCATAATGATTTTATCTTATTTGTCAAGATTATTCGGATACTCATACCAATTATTTTAGAGTTCAAGTTATTTTATTTCTCCATTTATCAAAATGAAAGGAAAGACATAGTTACAACTTGCAGCCCAGAACCCTGCGTGCATTTCTTTTTTGACCGCATGCCCTGTCATCCGAGACTAGTACTTTCACCTCTTTGATTCAGTGATTCTGGGAATATATGAACTTAATTTGTTTTAAACTTTTTTCCCACAAAGCCAGTTTACATAGCACATTTGTGTTTTTTTTTTTTTTTTACTTATTTTATCTTTAAAAGATATATTACAAAAATTAAAGGGACCACTTTATAATGTTACCACAATTTTATCTTTAATAAACATTTTTTCCTATTACAAACACTCTTCATTTATGTCGGTAAAAACTAAAATTTCTAATCGCACATTAGTTTAAATACCCCAGTTCTGAAACGTAAAATACTGAATTAGAGCAATAATGTAAAAATTGACAAATTCTTACCCTTGCATCAACTAAATAACTGAGAGAGAAAAAGAGGAAGTGAAAGAGGAGAAGAGATGATTATGTTATATTCTCTGTGTTTTAATCCTCAAAAGATGCATGGTGTATTTATAGAAGGAAAACTTGACCATTGCATCAACTAAATAACTCGAATATTAAAAGACAATTAATAACGTTTATACTTTAAAACAACAATGATCAGCTAATAAAATCACACTAGGTGTGCCAAAAAAAACACACACACATTACAATAAAATTTAAAAAGACCTGAAACATTTAATCATTAAATAAAGGTTGAAAAGTATTAAAAAGAAATTATTTAATAAAGATGTTAAACTCTTTTTTAGCTATATGTTTAAAGTGGAGATTGAATGTCAATCATTAATTAAGGAGTAGAAGTGTCAAAACACTATATCTAACAATTTTAAAGGATTAAATTTCAAATGGATAAAAAATCTTATTAATATTGCGAGGATATTCAACAGTTAGTTACATTATTATCCATTCGTGATAGGGCTCTTCAAATAGTTGAATTAAACTAAATTATATGTGAATTAAACTAAACTAAAATTGTAGTTTGATTAAATTGAATTGAACTAAAAAATAGTTCCAAAAAATTAAACTAAACTACTTTATATTTTAGTAAATTATAGTTTTTAAATTTGAACTATACTATAATTTATACTAAACTAACTTATTATTATTATTATTATAAACTGAATTCAAATACATTTTAAAAAAATATCTTTTTACTTTTTAATTTATAATTTCTTTATGGTCAAACTTATGATAAAAATAAATAAATAAATTTATCATAGTCCATGATTATTATGCTATTTTTTAGTAATTTGATTTTTTGACGAATTCATAAACTACTTTGATGTTATAAAACAAAGACTATGAACAAAAACAAAGTATCTAAATAAAAGCTTTAATTTTCAATGAGTTTACTGATCTTATTAATTATTAAATAAAAAATTTAAAAAAAATATTTAAATATTACATGTAATTATTGTTTTAATTAATGCCTTCTTTACAAAATAGTATGACTTTTAAAGAATATTATAAAAATATATACTGTTATTTTATAATGTTGTAAACTCAATCGTTAAACTTAACCAATTAATATTATAATTTTTTTATTAAAATAATAATATTTTTTTACATAAAAAATAAAATTATTTGGATAATAAAGAGATAAGTTTGTACACACATATATAATACATTTTTCTAATTTTTATAATAATTATATTAAAAATATAGAAAGAGTAATAATTATCAAACGCATATAAATTTTTATTCAATTAATAAATGAAAATTAATTTTTTTTAATCCTGTAAATTAAATCACCATAAAAAATTCTGTAACCAAAACAAAAATGTGTAGTTGTGCACAGTAACACTAAACCACTAGTATACTGATTCAACGGTAGACAATAGGCGAAATTGAAAATTTATGAAAAAGATATTAATAATGAGAATACAGTTTTATTAAGAGTTTGACCTAACAAACTACTATTTAAAAAATAGTTTTATATTTATAAAATTGAACATAAAACTTATTTTAGTTCAATTTTTTTATAAAAATAATTTAGTTTTTTCTAGTTTAATCTAATTTAGTTATTTATTAGTTTAGTTCTAATTAATTATTTATAACATTTTCTAATTATAACTTTTTTTTATAACTAAAGTGCACTAAAAATAATAGTTTAGTTTTTAAAAACTAAACTTAAACTATAATTTAGTTTAATTTTTATAAAAATTAGTTTTTAAATTTAAAATATAATTTAGTTTAGTTTTTATAAAAATTAATTTAGTTTTTTATAGTCTAATTTAGTTTAGTTTTTACAATAATTTAGTTTAATGTAGTTTTTTAAACACCCCTAACGAATGATTACCCTCATGAGAGTTAGATAAGGTGAAGCGTTGGTTAGACATTCGTGTAATCTCTAGCTATAAATTAATATCTCATATTTATGAAATTGCATTAGTTTACAAATGGCAATTAAGAGCATCATTTCTGCAACTTATTTCCTACTCTTTCTCCACCTTCTCCTTCGCTTGGCCTCATGCAGTACCAAAAGGAACCAGGTCTTTCATTTTTCATCCAATTCTTTTTTTTCTCTTTTCTTTTTGTCATGTCATCTATGTAGAGTCTCATGCATGTGAAACAATTTTTCTATGGTTCTCACAGGTTTATGTAGTTGAGTTGTTTGGAGAGCACTCTAGTAGTGGAGATCATAAAACACTGCATGAAGTAGAAAATGCCCATCACTCTTTTTTGCTTTCAGTGAAAGAAACTGAGGAGGATGCTCGAGCTTCCCTTCTTTATAGTTACAAACACACTATCAATGGCTTTGCAGCATTGCTTACTCCGAAAGAAGCCAATAAGCTCTCTGGTAAAAAAAAAAAACTAAAATAATTCTTCAACCGTTTTCGTGTTATTTTTTTTTTATCTATTTATCCATATATCTATGTGACGTTTGAAAGAAAACGTGGACAGAAATGGAGGGGGTGGTCTTTGTGCATAAGAATCAGCCAAGGATCTACTCTTTGCACACCACAAGGTCATGGAAATTCGTGGGGTTAGATGGGCCCTTAAATCCTCAGGAAGAACAATTCAATCACACAAATGAAGACTTGCTAACCAGAGCAAAATATGGGAAAGATATCATTGTAGGAATGATTGATAGTGGTAATTAATCAATATATATATATAAATATTTTCCTACTCGTGTCTTTGGTTTTATATCCCGCATATAATTATAAACAATAATGTTATTCTTACAATATTTGTTTACTTTCTATCTCCTGTATCATATTACCTATATATATATCCTAGCTATTTCACATTTCTGATATCTTCTTTGTTATTTCTTTTCTGTCTCTAGATCTCTCTTTGTTATAGATTTTTTTGTGAAAAAATATGTATATATAGCATTACTCTAATTAAATTTGGCTGTTCTTATTTTACTGCATTCCATACAATTAATTTATTATTATGTAATTATAACTAATGAACAGTATTGCACCAAACCAGAGAGCAAGGAGTGTGTCAGTGTGTGTGATGACTGTGTTTTTACTTGCAGGTGTGTGGCCAGAGTCAAAGAGCTTCAGTGATGAAGGGATGGACCCTGTTCCGACAAAATGGAAAGGAGTGTGCCAAAATGGAACTGCTTTCGATTCCTCTCAATGCAATAGGTGATTAATTGCTTTTCATTATACCACTAGAACTTCTCTTATACTTTTTTCTCTACTCTTTAATTAATTTGGAGGACATTCAATATTATTCATGAATGTCAATCATTTTTAATTAGTTCTTATGTATGAATATTTTGTAAATTTTTACTGAAACGGCTAATAAGGAATTTGCCTTTTGCTAATTAATAGTGAACTTGTAACTTGCAAGACATATATATTTAAGGTTGGAGTTATATTTCATAGAAAGAAATACTTGAGCAGTTTGATTTTATTTCTTTTCTTCAAGGACTCATAGCAGTTTCTATAAACTTGTGATTTCTTTGTCAAGCTTCAATATTCTAGTTTATTATTATTATTATTATTATCGTTGAATGTATTATAATGATGACAAGACAATTGTCTTTTTGACATGAAAGTTCTTCAATGAACTTTGGAACCTTTGAATAGGTTTCCTTTTATAAATTAGCCAATATTTGTAGTTTCTTTTTTTCTTTTATTTAATCTTGAACGAGTGGCTTAAATATTACGAAAGTAAAAGTTCAATTCTTATCTGTTGCATAAACGATCATCATGTCATTGTCATGGTATACAAATATTCATATATTTATTTTAAAGATAATCAAATTATGGAAAATGTGCATAGAGGTATCCAATAGCTTGCAAGCTAAGGAAGAATATATTTTTAAGGGAGAATGTACTGTGATATCATTTTTATCAATGAGGTTTTCTCTAGATGGTCCTTGATTAATTTTCCGAGACACAATGATAAGGTCAAAAAGGCATTTTCAAATCCAGCTTTTGCGATGCGTGGGGTTAAATTCTAAATACAATATCTATAGAGCTTGTTCGTATTTATATGATTTCTAGCTTTTGTCCTTTTGACTTAATTGTTTTTTGGCTTCTTTTATTTTTCATCTTGTGAGCCTCTCATTTCCACAGAGTCTTGTTTTATTAGTCAAGACTCAAGAGTGCATTCTTCTTCTTTTTTCATTTTTGGTTCTGTCAATGTCTTTTCTCTTGGCTTGTGGTGTGTGACTATATATACATATACCATTCTCCCATAGTCTAGATATAGATGATTGAAGGAAAAGAAAAGAAAAATGCCCAATTATTGAAGAGCTCTATGCGGAAATGGTCAGTGCATGCCAAAACACCAAAACATAAGCACGAGAGAGAGAGAGAGAGACAGAAGAAGAAAAAAAATGACATGTAAACTACAAGACAACGTTTTCATCTGTATGTATTCAAACGATAGACTGATGAAAATTATGTAGCTCTGACAAGTCTTGCTTTGGTTACTCGTGATACTTTTGAATCTCTCAATCTTGGGTATTTGAAAGAGACGTATTATTATATATATTTATATAACACTTTTATATATTTATTTTTTTCATTATATCACCCGTCTTATCTATTTCTTAAAATGTATTATATGTTAATGCAGAAAGATCATTGGAGCTCGTTACTACTTGCATGGGTATGAAAGTATATATGGCCCTCTAAACGAAAAGGAAGATTACAAGTCAGCACGTGACAAAGATGGACACGGAAGCCACACAGCTTCAATAGTGGGAGGGCGTGCAGTTGCGAACGCATCAGCCATGGGGGGCTTTGCGAAGGGGACGGCCCAAGGGGGTGCCCCACTGGGCCGGCTGGCCATATACAAAGCGTGTTGGCCCATTAAGGGGCAGTCAAAGAGCGATGGCAACGTGTGCACAAACATTGACATTCTCAAGGCCATAGATGACGCCATTGGTGACGGCGTTGACGTCATAAGCATTTCCATTGGGTACAGTGCACCGATCTCTTATGAGGAGGATGTGATCGCCAGGGGGGCATTGCATGGTGTGAGGAAGAACGTAGTGGTGGTGTGTAGTGCTGGCAACTCTGGCCCTTCACCTCACACTTTGTCCAACCCTGCACCCTGGATCATCACTGTCGCTGCTAACACTGTTGATCGTTCCTTTCTTGCTACAGTTAAGCTTACCAATGGCACACGCATTCAGGTCATTCAACTTATTGAAAATTGAAACTCATTTCTTCTAAAATACAATATGCATTACATATTGGATGCCTACATGATCAACTTTAACTTAAAAATTGGAACTCATTTGAATTATAATTTTTGTCTTTGTTAATATCAGGGTCGATCAATTACTCCAGTCCACATGGGAAATAGCCTCTACCCATTGGTTCTAGCTGGAGATGTTGAGCATCCAGGCTTGCCTAGTACAAATTCTGGGTGCTTTTTCAACACTAGTTTTTTCTACCTCTTCATGTATTCTGATTATTTGACTAATAATAAATTGAATAAGATTATTTAATTAATCTTGCAGGTATTGCCTGGACAATACCCTTCAACCCAACAAGGTAAGAGGGAAGATAGTTCTCTGCCTTAGAGGGCAAGGGGAAAGGCTAAAAAAAGGCTTAGAAGTTCAAAGGGCTGGTGGGGTTGGTTTTATCCTTGGCAACAATAAAATAAATGGGAACGATGTACCCTCTGATCCTCATTTTATTCCAGCCGCTGGTGTGTCCTATGAGAATGCCTTAAAACTAATTCACTATGTCAATTCTACTCCAAATCCAATGGCACAAATTCTACCAGGAACAACAGTGTTAAATACCAAACCAGCACCCTCCATGGCCTCCTTTTCTAGCAGGGGTCCAAATATAGTTTACCCCAATATTCTGAAGGTATTTTTTATATACATGAATCATGATCACTATTTTTATTATCTTTATAAAAATATTTAGATAATTAGTCTGTCTCAAATGTCCTTTGCTTTTTGAGAAGGCATGTCACTGTTCTCATAATACTTTACTAAACATAACGGTTGGAATCTTGTGTACCTCATCATGCAATTGATTTATCTCTTGTACATATGTCTAAAATTTCTTTAATCATCTTGGACTTTCAGCCTGACATTACAGCTCCAGGAGTAGACATATTGGCAGCATGGACCGCTGAAGATGGCCCCACACGAATGACATTTTACGACAATCGAGTAGTTAAATACAACATTTTCTCTGGAACTTCAATGTCATGCCCTCACGTGGCTGCTGCGGCAGTTCTTCTCAAAGCCATTCACCCTACTTGGAGCACTGCTGCTATAAGATCTGCTCTCATCACTACAGGTAACTTCAAGATCAAAATCCACTCATGAGATGATCCACCTAGTTCTTCGCACCAAATGGCCATATAGAGGCAGTAATAAACATGTTTTGCTGCTACACCTGATCATATATATATATAGACCAATCTAATTTGAAAAACCAGCAAATAAAGTAATACTATTCAATTGGTCATCTATTATAAAAATCAACAATCATATCATACTGATATTTATACGAGAGAATATTTTATAAAAATTATAATTTTATTATTTTTATAAATTTATTTTATACATAATTTTATTTTATTTTTTGATTACTATCAAAAAGTTTTTTAATTATTAAAATATATATGTATTTTATAATTTTTTTTTTATTTTATCGATATTAAATTTTGTTTGTATTCTAATAATATGTCAATTTATAATTGAATGACAATCCAAAAAAAAAAAACCATTACACTTTCCTGATTAAATTTTTAATACTTTGCAATTATATAACAAACAATTCAAAATTTAGCTTGATCACGGTAACTAGTGTGTATACTGCAAACATTATCCTCAACGCACTGAAATTCCATGCCATGTATTTCAATTTTCCTGAACTGAATCCTGTTCTCTTGCAGCCATGGCAACAGACAACACTGGCAATCCATTGACTGATGAAACTGGAAATCCTGCAACGCCTTTCGCAATGGGGTCTGGCCACTTCCACCCCAAAAGAGCAGCAGATCCTGGTCTGGTTTATGATGCCTCCTACATGGACTACCTTCTTTACACTTGTAGCCTTGGAGTGACTCAAAACTTTAACATTACATATAACTGTCCAAAGTCATTTCCTGAACCGTTTGAGCTTAACTATCCATCCATACAAATCCATAGGCTCAATTACACCAAGACTATTAAGAGGACAGTCACCAATGTTGGTAGGAGAAGGAGTGTTTACATGTTTAGTGCTGTGTCACCAAAGGAATACTCCATCACAGCTACTCCAAACATTCTGAAATTTAATCATGTTGGGCAAAAAATGAACTTCGTCATCACAGTGACAGCAAACTGGGGTCAGATACTAACCAAGCATGAGCCAGATAACTACTATTTTGGATGGTATGCATGGACTCGCGAACAACACGTTGTAAGAAGCCCAGTGGCAGTGTCTTTTCCATAAAATAACATTCTATCTTACTTTCATTAACTTATTGAAGTGTTTTTTCCTTCTGAGATTTTTCTTGTGCTTTCCAAAAGGCCAAAGGCCAAATAATTTGAGAATCTTGGAGAAACAGGAAACGAAACAGATAGGATACAGATTATTAGAGGATTGAATTAGTGTTCTCATACAACATCAACACTAATGACATAGTTGTTTCTTCCTGCTGCTTCTTTTCTTTTGTTCCCTCCCTCACACATACTTCCTCACACATACTTAGATCGTTGGGAATAAGATGTATGCCCAAGATTGTTGGGAATAAGATGTATGCCCAAGGTCTAATCTATCTTATATGTATTAATAAGATTGTACTTTATTATTATATTTATTGATTATGAGAAATAATTAATATGATAAAGTCTTCATTAAAATTAAAGACTTCTTTTTTTATAAGAGATTATAATAATGAGAAAAACAAGTCTCTTTTAATTTTATCTAAATTATTCTTGATCGTAAGATTAGTAAGGATATGACATTATTAATCCACATAGATCAATATATGTGTAATAATTTTTATTGGATAGAGATTAATAGATCTTATTTATTAAATTACTCATAAATAGTGCATATAGGAATATGACTATTGAACATATTTTATAAAGAAGAATTTCTAATAGTTATATATTATTTTAAAATTTCGTCAATAGAAAATTCTTAAGAAGAAATATATAATTTCCTTATACTTGAGATTATCATAATAATTAACAAGATATTTATTATATTTTGATTTCGAACACCTAATACTTAAAGGTGTTAGTTGAATGATTATTGAGTGTAATTAAATTCTTGTACATGTAGAATTAAATGATTAATCAATAAGGAATTCATCGACTCTTGGTAATGAGTTTAAGCTTTATAATGAAAATAAGGACCTTGGCCAAGGCAATTGAAATAATAAAGAAAAATGGATTTTTCTTGTATTTTTTATTATACGTTAACTTATTAGAATTTGGCAATTAAACCATATTCTAAAGTTAATTTATAGTTGTAAAATGATGGAAGGAAATTTTATGTTAATCTTCTAAAGGTTATTGAAAATATTATTTCATACTATCCGGACATTAAAGAGTGTTGCTAGACGCCAACCTTGATTAGTAAATTAATGTAATTAATTTACTATCGATTTAGTTTTGAACCTACAGAGTCACACTAACAAGTGTTCTAATCTTTGCTCAAGAAAATAAAATATTGTTTATTTATTTTTGACTGGCATCAAAATATAAATAATATTTATTTCTATTAAGATAGAAAAAAACGTCAATTTTTAAATTTCAAATTGAAAGATTCAATTTGAATTTTGATCTAGTCAAAAGTAGTTTTGATAAGAAAAGATAAAAACTATTTTTTGGATATTTGATAATTCATATTTTTTAGAAGATAGGATATGGATGTTGTTGCTGATAGAATATATATGTTTACATATTTATAAATATACAGTTCTACTGTGGATAAAAAATAAACAGAAAAAAACATAAGAAAATTAGTTCTTTTCTCTCTTATATTCTCTGCTGAAAAATTGTTCGATGAAGAGATTGACAAGCAAAGATTAGTCTTGGTGTGAATACACGTGGAACCTTCATAGTTTTGAAGAAAAAATTTTAAAATTTAGACTTTAACCAGGTAAACTTTATTTACTTTCATAGATATCTTATTAATTATCATGTGTGATTTTAGCATAAAATAGATCTTTATATATCATAAATCAAAATTATTCTGCATATTTTCTTTGAATACTAAAATATATTGGCAAATCTTCCTATAGCGAGTTGATATCACGGTTTAGCCTTACATTAAGCACTCTCCAACAGCCAACAGGCGCAGATATTTGTGAGGATCTTTCAAATGCTTTTGAATATTTAGACTTGATATATTGTTAAAATTTTACAAACCTAACATGTGCATATATCACATAAATGTAAGTTATCAAGTAAAACTCCGAAAGAAAAAAGCAGCAGTGATTCAGTTCTTTATCAACGTACGAACAACAGCAACAGATTCAAGAAACATACACAAGAAACTAATATGAAAATTGTAACTAATCTACCATACATAGTGGGATATGACTATATATCCTTGTGGTTACCATGGTCATCACCATTCACCTGCATTCTCAGTTTCTTTCCGTGTACAAACCTGTGTTTTGCACATGCCAAATTAACTGCAATCAAAACCAAAAGCTTGTCTCTCATGTCAAACACAAACCCGAAATATGCATGTCTCCAAGACCTCTTCAACACCAAACTGCCACACACAAACCAGAAGCCCGTAATGTACCCCACAGCTATGCTTGCATATAACCCCAACCTTTCAATCTTCTCATCATCTTCCCTAGCACCATCTTCACCATCTTTTACTTCCTCTCCATTTCTATGCAACAATGATGAGCAATCAGTTGGTAGCGGATCTCCACAAAGGTAAAGGTAAGGGTTGCTTACATTAATCGATGGATCATTAAAGGTCCCGAACTGATTAGCAACCGGAGTTTGTCCAGACAAATTGTTGTATGACAAGTTCAAATAGCTCAAGAAAGTCATGGAAGCCATGCTTGGAGGGATTGGACCCAAAAGACGGTTGTGCGAAAGGTCTAGACTTTCTAAATTTGTTAATGATCCAATGTTCTTGGGTATGTGCCCAGTTAGCTTATTCCAAGACAAATTCAGGGCACCCTCTGTAAACTTCTCTGGTATCTCTCCAGAAAGGTGATTGATAGAAAGGTGATTGCAGCATCCATTAGCTCAAAGAGACAAGTTGGCTCACTTGAACAAGTCCTTCATAAATGCTCCAAGTGGTGCTTCTGTTCTTGCATGCTTAAGCAGTTAAAGTCACTCGCGTAAGTGAGCATAGGATCGCTTAGAGATTGTTTAACTCTCGCTCTAAGTGAGAACTCCCAATGCTATAATACTCTCGATCTTATCTCGTTTAAGATCAAACTGGCTCGTTTAGAGCTTGACACAATTAACTTTCTCAAGGACCTTATTGACCATTGCTCCTTCTATTTCTTTCTTATGTCTCAAAAATTAACAAAAAGAAGTATTAAAAACACCTAAAAAAACTTAAAAGGCTATTAATTAACAAAACCAATTCAAAATACTTATTCTTTTTGATAGAAACTAAACTCCAAAGCATAAGATATTCCTGAAAATTTCTTAAATTGAGTAAAAGATATGACATATTTGGCAATTACCACTGGTGCATCTTCCTAGCTTCTCTTGGTGGTTGTTCATGTCATCTAGTTATGTTTATATATATATATATATATATATATATATATATATATATATATATATATATATATATATATATATATATATATATATATATATATATATATATATATATATATATATATATATATATATATATATATATATATATATATATATATATATATATATATATATATATATATATATATATATATATATATATATATATATATATATATATATATATATATATATATATATATATATATATATATATATATATATATATATATATATATATATATATATATATATATATATATTTCAAAATATATTAAAATATGAACTCTTTGATTATATTCAAACTATTGTTCAATTTTTACAAAATTTGATATACATATACAAGATAATATGAAGTTATAATTCAACAATTAGTTTCACAAAATTCATATTTAATTAAAAGTTATTGAGAGGTATAATAGTTGGTAAAAGTTACACCAGTATTGCTTGAATCATCCTCTCTCTCTTTATATATATGAGGAGGGTTCAAACGACACCGGTGTAACTTTTAGTAATATATATATATATGGGGAATGCTAATATACTCTCACTTATTTTTTAGTTGAAGTATGTTAGCAACCTACACTAAAATTTTAGGACAAAAAAACTACTCATTTCTTTTGATTTGATTAATTTATACAAAGGATATTATAGTAATTTAATTTAATTTTAAATAAAAATAAAATATTTTCTCTCTCTTATTAACTTCATTCTCTAAATCATTTCTCTCTCCTATTAAATTTTCTCCAATCCATTTCTTTTTCTTATTAAATTCTTTCTCTAACTTATTTATCTCTTTCCTATTAAATTCATTCTTTAACTCATTTCTCTTTCATCTCTTATGATGTCTCCTCTTTCTCTCTGAACAAATAAAAAATTAATTAATCAAAATAAATAAATGAACTGGAGAATGAAGTTAATAAGAGAGAGAAAATGTTTTATTTTTATTTAAAATTAAATTAAATTACTATAATATCATTTGTATAAATTAACCAAATCAAAAGAAATGAGTGACTTTTTATCTTAAAATTTTGGTGTAGGTTGCTAACATACTCCAACTAAAAAATAGGTGGGAGTATATTAGCATTCCCCAATATATATATATATATATATAAAACAGAGGAAGGGTCCACTTACTCCTAAAGTAAATCTTGGTAAACTTATTTTGTTCTATAACTCATGTTCTATATTAAATTTCAATGATCTAACAGTTAAATTAAAAGTTCTTAATGCATAGATCAAGCTTGTAAAGTTTTAAAAAATTTGAAAATTATTTGATATTTTAATTTATTAATTCAAATAAATGTATAATATATATATATGGGAGGAATCAAATAATATCGATGTAACTTTTATTAACTATTACATTGTTTAAACTTTATATTAGATGTGAATTTTTCAAAAATTACCGTTAGAATATAAGTTCCTTACTCCTATATCATTTATACAAAAGATTTATATTAATATAAGATGATTTAATACATCATTCACATAGATCAAAATTCATGTAATATATACATTGCAAAATATACTAAAAATAAAAACAATTTGATTACCTTCAAATAGTTTTTCAATTTCTACAAAATTTGACATAAATATACAAGATAATATTAAATAATTCAATGGATTAATCGATAAAATTCATATCTAATATAAAGTTATTGAGTAGTGTAATATGGTCAAGATTTATTAACACAATGATGTCAAGTTAATGAAATGACACCTTCAATAATTTTTTATAAAATGCAAATTTAACTAATCCAACTATTATATTTGATGATTTTAGACTCATAATCATGCATATAAATTTTCAAATTATTTGGACTCTTCTAAATATGTAATCTAACAATAGATATTTACATGTATTTTAAATATTATTTTATACATTGAAATAAAATGATAAGATGAACTACCAAATAATTTATAATTATATACAATTTATATACTTGATCTAATTAGTAAAATTATCAAATACATCATTTGAATTGATTCAATTTACATTTTTATAAAAAAAATATTGAAATATAT